TAATTTTTATTATTTTTGTATTGATCGAGTTTCTCACTTCACTAATACTCAATGCTCTCGATTAAGGCAAAATTTATTTTTTCTCAATAAAAGATTTAAAAAAGTATCTATTTAAATAGACAAAGTTTGCCCTCCTCCAGATTAAAAACGCCCCTATTCCAAAAGTTATAGTAAATGAAATAGTTGTAGGTTACGATGATATGAAACTATTTACGAAGTTTCAGGAGGATGTTAATAATTCGATAAAAAGGGGTCTGTACCTCGGGAAATAAAGTCGTTCACCTGAAACTTTTGTAATTTATGTATATAACATACTTTCCCGAAAGCAAGCTGCATACATTTTTACTATGATTTCAAATTTTATTTGAGAATAACTCAAAATGTACGCAATGTTATAATACCTATATTTATTTGAAAGTTTCCTGAATTCTCTACAAAATAAAAAAAGTGTCATCGAAATCGGACTATTTGGTGAAGAGATATAATGTTTTAATCATTTAGTACTTTTTCTTTTGCATAGACGAGTTCCTTTATTGGTTTTTGATAAAGCTAAAACTTTACATTTATTGAAGTAATCGAGATTATTATTTGAAGAGATGGTAAACAAACTCCTTATCCAGGTCAATATTATCCCTGGTGTTATCATTTTTAAAAAAATCGAGAATAATTAATGTTTTTCTCACCTTGAACCTGGAACCGGAGCCATTATTAAAAAGTTTTTGTTCTAATACTTTCGTACTATTCCTAACCTTTGTTACTATTTAAATTTATTGTACCTGTCGTCATGTGTTATGCATCATATGAATGAAAAAACTAAACAATATTAAATATTAATTTTTTATTCAATCTTCAGACAATAAGTTCTGTGACGTGTCATTGTGAATACTATTATAAATCGATTCTAATAAAAGGTGAAATGGTTTCTATGGTGACACATCCTATCGTCTGTTTATATCAATCTTCATTATATAAATAGGCAAAAATTAACAGTTTCGGTCCGTTTTTCATCTCTATCTTTTTACAATTATGTTTTCCTTTTTTATTTGTTTAGTAGCTTAAGCTGAGTTGAAATTTCTAATTCAAATTTATTTCTTACTTGATTAATTGCCATACTAACCTAAGACAACTCCCAATTTCATCTATAATTGTATGGACATCTCAACGGACTTATAAACGACATGGCCACGGCTGACATTCTCATCAGGAGGCGACTGAAAAGGAGCTGAATGTGTGATATGCTTTCCTGATTTAAGAAAGTAAACAGACCATGGAAGATGTGCTGCTGGGGAACTATTTTTCATCACTACATTTTTTACCATTAACTCATTTTTTATTGAATTTATTTTTGATTTAATTATAGTTTTCCCCAAATATTCAATGATTATGGTCGAATTTCGGCCACTGGGCGAACACTAGTTATGATGAATGGTAAAGATACTCAAGATATTGTCTGTTACCGGCCTGATTTGTTTGAATCTATAATGACAAAAACTTGTAATAGGAAGGAGTCGATTAATTTTTATTCAAGACAGATATTTATGTGTTCTTGCTAGTCAGGTCATTCCTCGGCTAAACTTATTATAAGACGGCTCTATGATTCCATTGAACTCAAACTAATTATAACTAATTATACAATTTCTTCCAGAAATTATTATAAATTAGATTAAAACCGAGAAAATAAAGTATACTTTATTTCTCTTGGTTTGGTAGCAATTTATTGTTGTACTAATTATAGTGGTAAGAACCACATTGACAAGAAATGGATTGATGGGTACCCGATAGTAAATCAGTTGTATTAGTGAAGCAAGATAGCTCACGAAGGTATACGTTGCTAATACTTATCTAAGATAAGATTCTTGACTGGAACGACTTTCGTGACTTGAGTTGATTTGCTCAATGCTATTTTTTTTCTATCTCTCTCATGTTGTAACTGAATTGTTTTAGCTTTGTCGCTTATCATCAAAAACGTTGGTGTTTATTTTCGCCTGTTGCATGGAAACAATTTACGGTTTTATGGAAACCAGAAGATTAAAAATCACAAGTTGTTTACTACTTTTTTTATTTATTTAGAAATATAATAACCTGCCACGTGGACAATAATTATAATGATATATATATATATATATATATATATATATATATATATATATATATATATATATATATATATATATATATATATATATATATATATATATATATATGTATATATATATATATATATATGAACACATTCACACCATATATAAGCTGGATGGAATTAAAGTGGACTGATGGACAGGATCTGCGCTGGAGTCTTAAGGCAATATGTTTGCATTTGGATTCGTTTACTTTGATGCTCCATTTATTACACCAGGGCTCAATCAGGGAGAGGTGCCTTAATAGATTAATAATAGCCTTAATAATAAATTTAAAGATACTGTTTCGGGATCTGAGTTGGATGATAGGATGGCGGTGTCATCAGCAAACGTTGCCAGGCAGGTATTGGGATGGACAGGGATATCAGAGGTAAAAAGGACGGGGCCCAAGACGCTACCTTGAGGAACACCGGCTTCAACTGGGTAGGAGTTTGTTTAATACTAATATCTATATCTTAACAAGGTATAAAAAAGACATGAGGGCCATGTACCAATTCAATATTTAATAGTACATTTATGAGCCAAAATTGAATGTGAAAAATTAAACTTCTAGCAATATTTTAGTTTTTTGCTATTTTTTTAATCTATACAATATAAATAGTCGATTTTAAATAAAAAACCCATGTACTAAAAATGGTAGGGAATGAAATTTAATTAAAACAATATTGAGCCATTTGTAAACTTTTAACTTAGGGCTAAATCGGATGAACCGTTTATGAAATATCGACGTGTTAACGAAACTATGTCTGCGCAGAAGTAGATGGAATTTGATTAATTCAATATTGGGGCATCTGGGTATCGAAAAAGGCTATTTTTGAAAATTTTATCAAGAATGGATTATCAGTAGTATGTCCGCCACACAGTTTGACTAGAACTAGAGCGAGACCGACACGGAAATAAATGTAAGAAAAATGGATGTATATTTGCCTTGACCTTAGAAAAATATATGTAAACTGAAGCTTACTAGAAAAAGAAAAATAAGAAGGAAATAAATCTATTTCTTGATGTCTAAAACGTAAAAGGCGAATTTCTCTTCTGCTGACCATAATGTTGATTTAATTCCTATATAACTGTACAGATTCCGTATTTTAAGGTAGCGTGCAAGCAAAGTTTCGTGAATTTTGCATTTCACTAACAGCGCTCAGTGGTCGAAAAAACGGCACAAATCTTAGGAAACTTTTAATTTAGACAAGATACCTGAAGAACGGCTTATTTTATAGCATGTTAGCCCTTCTGAATTAGTAAAGACTAAAACCATTTTGGTAGGAAAAACCGTTGTTATTATTAATTTGTTTACCAATAATATATTAAACTAATTAATATATATTAAATATATGTTATAATTATGTAGAGATGGTTGACCGTTGATATAATATGAGAAGGAGTTAGTCGGGGGGTGCAGTCAGATAAATACTAAATTAAAATGTAGTAATTATTTTATTTTAATTTTGCCGACGTTTCGACCCACTTTGCAGGTCGTCTTCAGGGCTACAAAAGATACAAAACATGTTTTAAAAATTAAAAATAATTTGTATTCTCAACATGTTTACCATTAAAAAATCTAAAAATATATTTAATGGTACATATAATTTATAAAATTAGTTTAGTAGAAACAGGTTTTTTATTTATCCTTCATAGAAAATCATGGAAACCAGTATTTTTAACTGTGCCTAAGCAGTTGGAATATGTGAAATAACTATGTCGCTCATAGAGCTTATGCCGCTCTCAGAACATGTCATTATTGAGTTCTAAAGATTATGAAATCATTCAATAAATATTATAGGTTTCTAATAAATCTATATTTGCGGAAAACAAAACATAAACAAAAATACTTGCAGCAAAGCCTTAATTTAAAAACTCGAAAAAGAATCACAGTGTATAATATTAGATTTGAAAAACTCGGTGACGTTCATTAGAGATAAATAGAACGTCTTAGATATTTTAAAAATCACTTCATTTAATCATTCGGTTACCTTACATTTAAATGTATGTATACCACACACTTGATTCATTTCGGTCATTTTTGTAGCCACTTTGCATTTGCATTAAACATGAACCAATGGGATTTATTTTTAATTGGTTTCTTCAACAAAGAGCCATAAATTTTACTAAAGTGAGCCAATGAATGAATCATTTTATTGAAAATGAAAGTATTGGGTTATTAAAAATGGCTTTATCAACGAATGATCTTAATTGTTACACTCTTTTAGTAGTACGGAGTTATGATTGGTCATATGTGCGACCAATAAATGCTATAATCTTGTTAATTTATAAAGTATTAGCAGATAAATATTTAATAATTAAAATCAATTTGTACCAAAATAAGTTAATTTTCTTAATATTGAAAGTTGCATGTACTTTATGTTAGAAAATTTCAAATAAATCAATGAATAATTTTATAAATGAAATAACTGTTATATACTATACAATAGCTTAAACCTGTATTTTTAATATTTCAATTCAATAATCAGTTGTTGTTATGTAAGAGATTTAAAAACTTGAATTAAATAATTCAATGATATTGAAATTACCTAGGTTACTGTCGTAGACAATGTTATATAGTAAAATTAAAATATTATAGGTATTTGTATAATTGTATATGTTTATTTAAGTTGTTATTTTGATTAGTTTAGTTTCTTTTTGTCTATTTTAATTTATTTTAGTTTATATATAGCTACTTTTAGTATTATTATATTGCTGTTTATTTATTTTCATTTATTGTATATAGAGAGTGAATGAGCTACTCTTCTGTCACTATTACCATTGCATGCCACAGATTGCAATATTTCTTAATAAAGAATTGGAATATATATAATTAGTTGTAATCCTAAATTTGAACTAATATCAACTGACGGTACTTACAAGACTAAGACTTCATCAAATCTTCCGTTTGATGATCTCCATTTCATCTCATTTCTGAACACAGACTTTTTAAAAATTGATTTAAAAACCTAACCTAGAATGTAGCGGAGTTTATAATTCGGTCACTACTTATTCAAAACAAAACGATTATTTCATTAAAGTTATTGCGCTCATATTTTTAGATTACTCACGTTTTCAGAACTGAATAAATTTTTTGTTTTTTATGGCATTCTATACATTGTTGTTTACCGAAGCTCAATACACGGTTGAATCAATGTTGTCTGTTCGGGATTTCAATTGTTTTCTGCTATCAACAATACTTTTTTTCAATATCATATATCTGTATCTTTTCGTAATGTTCACTACTCTATACCTACTGATAAGACAACTATTTCAAAAGAATTATCATTTTAAATAGTAACCATGACAACTACATTAACAGGTTATTTGTGATGGTATTTGATTGTTAAATTTCTTAAACCTAATCTAATATCACAAGTAAGAAATAATGAAATGAAAACAAAATATGTTGACTAATAATATATGTAATATGAAATGTTATTTTATAAAATGTTCATTACTGAACATTTTTTCCAGCAATTAAATATCCATCTTAACTCATTTTGACGAACATATTGTTAATAATAACCAATAAATCGTAAAACTAAAATTCATCTTTCTATTAAAGGCGCAGTATTTAGCTAAAAATAACCCATCAAAATCAAACTTTCATTAATTATTTTTAATAGTGATAAAATTATTACTAAAACAAGTTTTGGTTAATAATAACTTGGCCCAGATGGAGAAGAATGATTAAGAAAGGGAATAGTGCTGTCGGAAAAGGATGCTGATTTTGATTCGGCTAAAATGATAACATGGTGTAGGTAATGAATAGCTAAAGAAAAGTCTGTTTTTAAATATAAAGTATTTACTTTTTTTATTAACACAAACGCTAACATACGAATATCCAATTAAAACATTTGTGTACACATATAAGAAACAGCTCCTTAATAAGTAAACAAACCAGTTGTTTATAGATTTTACAAAAACATGTAGTGAATAATAAACCAAATAAGTTAAATATATTTGTATATACTACAAAATATATTTATAAACCGTAAGATTAGTGTTGCCCTATGCGAGACCTAGGCGAGTCTTGGTTCTTCAAACTCAGCCTTGATCTCGGTCTTGGACTTGCGCAAGAGTCTCGCAACAGTCTTGCAGTTACTTATTAGTTCATTACTATAGGGATATTACTGTAATTATTTAGATAGGAGAAACATAACTAAGCCCGAATAAAAAATTAGTGGAGTTAAATGGGTTATACCAATTATTTACATATAGTAACTAATATTGTCAAGTATTAGTAACTATTTTGCCTTAATTTTTATTTAAAAAATTGATTTTTTTTACCACTCCTGATCTTGGTCTTGCAACAGTTAGGTGGCGTTGGTGTTGGTCTTGCTAAGTGCAAGACCAAGACCGATTTTGTGCAACACTATGCAAGATGGGGTAACTTTGGGACTGGGCGGGTAAAATTTAGTTTGTGTTGATTCCGTGGTGGATACACTGTGTTTGTTCAGTCTGCAAAATGTGCTTTGTGTAGTCATGTACTGCGCTACTACCTTGAGCCACACTACTATTGAGGCACAAGCGAAAGTCATGAAAACAAGAATTTTGAAAAAAAGGTATAGAAATTAATAAAACCTAACTGCACAAGGAGTGTAGTGAACTAGGGTTCTCAAACTGCCGCAAGGTAGTAGCGCAGTACATGCCCACACAAAGCACGTTTTTGCAGATTTGACCAACTGACATCCATCACGGAATCACCACAAACTAAATTATATCCGCTGTGCCAAAGTTACCCACCCAGTCCCAAAGCTACATCACCTAACGGTATGCCTATTAGTTACCATGCATTTAATACTAAAATTAATGTCATAGTCATAAAAATATACAGTAGGAAAGTTGGTTGGGGATGTATTCATTGAAAAATCACAACCAAAAATATTATTTTTTAAATGTAAATTTTAATTTTATTTTTAAAGTTTTATTTGTGTACTCTCATCGGCTCCAACCTCCAACCGACTGCCCAACCATATTGTTTTGCTATCCGACAGTTAACGATTTTTTTCACCATTATAAAAGTATCCATATGATGTCTGAAAAGGAGGATGGCTATTATTATATTTTCAGCCAATACTACTGAAGTCTTTAATGTTAAAATCTTAACAATTATTCAAAGGTTTAAAATCAATAATAAAGGCGATTTATGTATGATCCTGAATCCAAAAATATTTGTTGGCATTAAGACAATTAATTGAAAAGTTACTTTTTGGTAGTGCTTTTTTTTTCATATTTGTAATTATAATGTTGACATCTGGATTGCCAGTTCAATTCACATACAACTATACGTTATTTTTCAAATAAAAGAATCAATAAAAAGTGCTGTTATTAATTTGCGTATACATTTTGGGCTTGGTTGATTTTTGTAAATGAGGCTGTTGGGATTAAATTACTTACTCCTGGTTCAATACCAGATTTACAAGATATACAGTCCCTCAGTTTAAATATACAACCACTCAAGTCTAAAAACAAATACAGTAACCTACTTGGAACTTATTTTTAACAAAAGGTTGACATGAGACCCTTACGTCGGTAAAACACTAATTTGCCTACTGAGTGTATTTATACAATTTCACACAAACGATCTAAATTACCCGTCAGATAAAAAATTAATGTTTATACTTATTTATATTACCCATGTGAACTTTCGCTTGCTAAATTTATGGACATAAACGACCGATCCCATTGTTTTAAGTCTAATAACAAAGCCAGTTTAGAAGTTTATTTATTTGTACAAGCTTACCGTTTTAAATATTCAATTAAATTAATTTTATAGATTTTTTTTGTATGCTTTTTCTTTTCATTATTCAATTCTAAACTATGCAGATTTTTAAAATTACAACAAAGAAAATCCTCCCAGTAGAATTGTCAGAAAATTAATGGAGTCCCATTTGGATTTTAATGAAGATCCCTTGCTAAAATAGTGGGGTCTTTTAGAGCCAGTGATTGCCTTATCTCATTAAGTTCTTATTAGCATTTCGTTTGTTATTTGAATACCAAAGTAATCCCCACGTGGCTATCGTTGTATAAATAACAGATTCCCTTATTAATTTTCTTTAATGTAAATGAGAACAAATATTTCCAATCTTCTATTCAGTGTACCATCTACCATTGGCTATTCTTATAGATTATAGAGAAATGATAAATTTTAAAATAATAATAAATCCCATGGTAAGAAAAATATCTCTATTATATAAACAGATTTCAGTGACTTTTATATTTTATTTTATTTTAGTATTAGGAGAGTAGGAGATAAACAAGAGCTCTATTTTTCAGCTCAGTCCTCCAGGCACGATAGCACTGTTCTCCTATGACACTTATTTTACATATTATATAGTTGTTCATTACGTGGGAGGGGTGGCCGAATGGGTGGTCTAACGCGTTGTGCACAGCACCACCGTTGCCCGGCAATCTGATATATGACAAATGTTACAAAAGTAGTCACGAGTTCACATCCCGATGACAGGCGTCTTTTAAATCCCCGCCCACACCCCCTGGTCCGGGAAACCCCCGTATAGCCTTAACGGCGAGGAAGGGGAGGACCCAAAAAAAACAAAACAAAGAAAAATAGTTGTTCATTTAATAACATATGCGTTGAGCTCCTGTTTCTAGCTACTCTGCTAATATAAAATAAAGATTTTAAGCTAAAAATTTGTATGGGTAATACTATTCATCTGGAGGTGGTAGTTTGATTTTACCTAGGTGACAACAGTTATTTTTCGATCAAGACATTTCCCCTTGAATACAATATATTAATTGTTATATTATATATGATATTATTTATGTTATATTGTGATGTAATTATAATTATTATAAAATAGAAAAGGAAGCACAATATAACGTTCAATGAAAATATTAGAAATAAAAGGCTCAAATTATTGTTGGGCTTATATGAAGCTGGACAAGTTAAAAATATAGTATGATTAAAATTTGGGAATAAAAATAATTATAACTATATGATAATATAAATTGAAAATAAGTCACGATACATAATATAGATTTTTAAAAAAAGTTGTCCGAACTGCGATTTCGTTCAGTTTATTTTATGTTGATAAAAAATAATACAATCTGAACTATTGAATACATGTAAATTATAGTTATATAATTTAAGCAACAAGTAATATAATTAAATCATATAATTTGTAAAATGGGGGCTGGTCCACCGTTAGGCGGTCTCCCTTAATTCACGCATTGACAGGTGTTACTGAATGTTACTATAATTTTTTATTCTGTTTGTAAACACTGTCATCCCAAATAATGTACCGAATCCTAAATTTTAACTTACATAAGTTTTTGTTTTAAAGTTATGAACTCCAATACATTAATTGGCTCTTAAGTTTATATTTTCCTTACAGTCCGTGGAAAAAATATTGCTCTTTTTAAAAACCATGAAAGTTTGGCAGTAAGTTTTAGTCTAGCAATTGCTTTCATTGACAGTTGTCAGGACTCTAGTATAACTTCTGTGGAAATTGTTACCTCATTCGAACTTTTTTGGAGCAGAATTGGTTTAACTTCCTTTTTTTTGTTTGTGTTTCTCAGCAAGTCAAGCTGTCGTTCTAAAGAGAATAAATTAAATAAATCAAAAATTAAAATGTTGATATTTCGACTATTTGATATTATCTATAAAGCCTCATTGAATATATATTTGTTCTAATATTATCATAGTATGTAGTCACTTTTCTGTGTCAATTCTTCCGTTATTTCAAACGTCAACTTATTTAATGTTTTTTTCTAGGTACTCAAACTCTATTTTCACTTATTATTTCAATTTTTAACTGCTTTAAAGATTAAACGAAATCGAAGTTTCATGTAGATTGAAGTTCACTAATTGTTCTTCCAGTAATTGAATCTGAAAAACTTTCCAAATATACTCGTATTCGTTTTTCTACAATGCGTATGGAAAATATATGAAACAATCCCAGCATCACACACAAAAATATTTTACAACATAATCGATCTACTCCGAAATGATTTTGTCCCTGTGGTCTGACAACAATAACAATTCCCTACAGTTTAGCAAATTTATAGACGTTGAAGTTTTCTGTTCTGTCTCTATATGTTGTTATATTTTAAAACGTAAGGGTTCACGTATGCGTGATTTGCTATCTCTTTTTATAGTTACTAGAATACTAGTTACTATATGGTTACTAATTAGAATACTATTCTGATTATTAGTATTCTCAGTGCACGATGCTAAAAATAACAGCTCCTTTTGAAGGGGCAGGAAAAGAACTAAGAGTTATTAAAAATGTTTTAAGAAGATGAAAAAGGAAGTCTTAAGATACGGCTTTTGATCTTATCAAACGCTTTGTAGAATTGAGAGTGAAAAACCCACCACCATCGACTTACTCAATTGAAAAGAGGAGGGCCAGTGTTTATAAAGTCTTGGCTTAATCCTTTTTTGGGTTGGGGCAGATTTCTTGCGCCCTTTCTTTACAGGCTCTTAGGATGGTCTCCTCCAAGCCTTGTTAAAGCATGACATTCTACTATGCAATCAGTTTAGGAACTATTTTAGATTAAACACTGGATTATATTGTGGTTGTTTTTATGCTTTAATAAGAAATTATGTTTTAAAGTGAATTGAAGAGATAATATATATTGATATGATGAAGTGTATTTAAGATATATTTTTTTATTCATTGATATTTACAAATGTATTATAAAAGAATACAACTAGTAAATGTGCACACAGTAATAATACAATCACATGAAAAACATATCACAATCACATTATTGAGAAACTACCCATTGTTAGCACTCTAATAATATATTTACATAATTAGATCACGAGGCCATCTTCTTTTCAGACGCGTCGGAGGGTAATCAGGGATCGAGGAGGAAGCAAGGTTTGAAACGAGAGGGTTCGGATGGTTCTGGAGTTTGTTATGGAAGGATAGGTATCTGGATTGGGCCAAATCGATATATTTAAGATATATAACTGAAATAAAAGAAAAAGAAACTGTACAAACCTGCCAACTTTTACAACAAGTTATGAAATTCAACCTGCTTTTAATTTCCATGTTCCTGCGAAAACTAATGTTTTTAAATGCCATTAATATTTAATATGGAAATGTAGAATTGATTTTTTTTTTTGCAAAATATTAATAATTTCTTTTTTTATTTCTTTATATTAACTAATTTCTTTATATTAGAAATATTTCATAATTTTCAGAGAACTGAAGAATAATTACTTCGATTAAAGGATGATGGGGGATAACACAGTGTTAAAATGAATTTGAGATGCAAGTTATTAAGATTTACCAATGTTGCGGAAGTTCATCCGGATGTCAACTATACCCACTTATCATATACACAAAGTTCTCAATTAATTTCGGTCTATTATTTTGAATAATTATGCCTATAATCTGTATACACTGTTTGTATTTATAGTCCGTGGGATAGACCCTTTCATACCGAATTATTAACATCCGTCTAAAACTTCGTGAATAGCTTCATCTCATTGAAACCTATAACTTAGAAAAATTTACTTAATTGGGGCATTTTCAATCTAGAGCAGACCGACTTCCAAGCCGGCCTATGTCCGAATCACTATCTAGCGAAGCTATTGGCGAAAGTAAGCCAGAACAGAGCAGACAAGAATGAAGCGACCGCAATATCTATAGACTGCACGGAAGCCTTTGACTCAGTGTCCTATAGCCTTCTTTGTAAGACACTCTTGAATAACAAGTTTCCGGAGCACCTCTTTACATCGTCGTTTCCGCTGTTCTTTGATTGCCTTAAATATTCGATAAACCCAATTTTTGAAACACTTATACTCCATTTACTCACAAAACTATGAGGTGGCAGACATATATTAAAAACCTATTACTAGACTGAGAAAATTTACATTTACAGAACACTAGTGAGCATGACAATAGACGAAGACACACCATAACTATGAATAACCACAGTACTCCCAATTCCTCATCCTTCGCTTAAAATACACTATGTGCAGTACAACAGTTCATGTTTAAGCCTCATTCTCAACACTACACCATATGGGGTTAAGAAAAAAAAAAACAATCTGGAGATCGGCAAAGTATATCCTTTTAATTAGGTATTAAAACTCGTGAGCAACCATTTGCTTTTCACTTGAATCGTAAAATAATTTGATCACATAATCGAGAAAAAAGGTGTTCTATAAAAATATTCTACCGTTCGGCGTGATCTCCAACCTCAATCTATTGAAATAATCAGGTTATATAGGCTAAATGTAGGTCACCTTTTTTTCGATTTTGTGATTAAATTGTCTTGTGGTTTAAGTGAAAAGCAAATGAATATTTATGGGGTTTTAGTACTTTATTTAATTAATTAATTATCATTTAGTTATATTGAAACAATTATATATTTAATGAGAAAACGATCCATTTCTGAGAATTTTCATACACAATAAATTTGTAGGTTGTGATAAGATTAAGCCATTCACGAAGTTTTGGACAGATGTTAATTATTCGATAAAAACGGTTTTTAAAATGGTTCGATAGTCTGTAACGGACTATTATATTATCAATACAGCATGGGTGATTCGTAGGAAAATAAACTCGTAATTGTTTCTCTGAACACTTCAATGTGTTTGTTGGTGTGCTGAATTAGATTCTGATTGTCGTTAGTCCTCATTTTGCTAGTCTACGTTTTCAGGAAACTATAACTTAGTATACACCGAAACATATTAACACTGTGGCATCTTATACAATAAGATGCCAAAATTGCCTACAGATTTAGTAGCTGGAAAGTTTTAATCAGTTTCATAGTTTGTTATCAGTTTCATGCTAAACCGCTTTGATACATTAAGGAAAACTAATCTAGTGCCTATAATATTACTGAATCATTAATTGCTTTTGAAATGTTGTTTTTTTGTTTTATAAAATAATAAACGTTAAGCTATTAAAATAACTTACTTAAGTAACTACAAGCATTGTTTGCGCCCTTAAGTAGTTAATAATTTATAGGGGGCGTGGCGGCCGAATGGGCTAAAGCGTGTGCACTGCTCCGCGAGTTGCCTGGCAACCAGATAAGAGATTTGAGAAGATTTAAAAAGTATGAGTTGGCATCCTGGTGCCGGAGGGGATTTCAAATTCCCCGCCCTCACCCTCCGGCCCAGGAAAATCCCGTATAGCCTAAAAGGCGAGGTAGAGAAGAAAAAAAAAAAAGTTTATAATTTATATATCCAGATGGTCCAGATCGATGATAAAATTTGATCGATCAAAATATTCTTTTGTAAGAGTATAAAGTATTAAAGAAATTTAATTAAAAGCCAGAAAATTTGTTGGACTATTCAAAACCTCAACAATACAAAGTTCATCTCTGAAGCAACCATGCAACTGTAACCTTGTTGAAAAATAGTTTATCACGTCATGATTATCAGGATGCTCTGTTAATTGAATCGACGTTCAATCGTAATTTGAGCAAAACTTGAATGGATAGAAGAATTTTACACTGCTGCAATATAATAATGCTGATTATATAATAATTATTCAAATCATTTTGCCTCTTCTAAATAATGTATGATTTGCAATGACGTCATTATTACACTGAATGAGCGATTCGTTATCTTGAGAAGTAGTTTACACAATCATTTATTTTGATTTGCACATGTCTGCGTCATAGAAATCCCTCAATTTCTAAATCAATCCCAAGTTTATACATGTAATTTCACATGAGAAAAACATTCTTCTTGGAAAGATCAAGAAGATAATGTAGAAAATCTAAGAAGCCATGAATCAATGACGAACTAGTACAAAGCGTCTTTCAGGCATACTTTCTAAGTTTATCAAAAACAATTATAGATTAATTTATATGTATAGATATTGTTTACTTAATTTTTTAATCTATGATCTTTATTGCAGGCGAAGACACTGAAATGCGGTTCAGTGTGAGTCCAGGAGGAGGTGACACGGGATTCTCCGAGTGGGCGAAGGCCATGAAAATGGTCGCAAGGCTGCCTGACGGTGTCCCAGCACATTTCAGAAAAACAGTGAGTCATTTTTCTCCTATCTCTGTACAATAACAATTGTTCTTTTAATTTTTTTTTTGGATCAAATCGCAATTTTTCCTAAGCCGAGTTTAAATTGTTTATGTTTATCTGGAATAAACGAGGCGAGTTTTAATTTTCTTTTATCCTGAATACCAGTGGCAAGAGTATTAAAAGTAGTGCCCCAAGAGGATCAGAAGCGCCGTGTACGCGGATAAATACGTCGAAACTCAATTGAAAAGCGCGATATTGAGTGTCGGTTGAGGCGGTTGGAGAGGTGGAAGTGGTTATTGAAACTCAATACCGCCTCTTCAACTTCGCAAACAGGTAGCATGTATAATTAGTCGGGAAGAGGTTTTTAATCAGAGTAGAAACCATCATTAGCTTATCCACATTTGTTTTTCCCTCAAGTTAACTCAAAAATATAAGTGGTTGATTCTTGATCGTGAAGGTACCTAATTTCAAATATATTTTGTCGGGGGCCAGTAACTTGAGGTTACGAGTTCTACAATATAATAAATTGTTAGCTGAAAATTGCCCACACTTAAAAGTGGTGGTATGGAACATTTTTTGGTTAGGCTAGTTTAAAAATATTAGACACATGTTCGAGATATCTTGCCGATGAAAATTAATATTTTCTGCCATTGTTCTTCGTGAATGTCTAGGTGATAATTAAGACACGGATTTGAAGAACTAGATTTACCAAGAAATGTATTGTAAAATCAATATTTAGATCTAAACAAAGATCTATAACCGGCTATTAGCAATAGTATACCAAAATATTTGTGGAGCATAAATATCGTTAAAAAAATGGAATTTTTAATTTTCCATAGAATTGGTAACGAATAATTTACTTCTTTTTAAAAATTATATATAACAGGAGACCAAACTTGCTACGTTGTCGAAAATGCTATAATGGAGAGGAGCCTTTTTCATTGATTTCAGAACGTTAACAAAGATTACAGAACGATAAAGATAATAAATGTTGTAATAAAGATTACAGAACGTTATATATTCTGGAGACTGTACTACATTAACTTAATAGAATAAAATAAATTGGCGTATATAAACATACATTATTTCTGTAAATCAAAGCAGGAAAATGTTTACTTCCTTAGATTCAAAAGAGAGGTGTTCGGTTTTTTGCAATATTTCTTACTAATGCTTTCCAGATAAATTTCAATATCTTACGAGGGTTTTACTTTTTGTTTTCATTAAATTGATATAATTAGATATTTAAACGTGAAAGAAAATATATTCTAAAAAATGAAGGAAGTTTCACTGTAAGTATAGATATCGCCATTTTAAAATAATTTTTGTTTCCTCACTACCAAAGGTAGGGAAGCATTTACACGGTGGGTCAGACTCCCCTATCGTGCACCTCCTCCCCCTTACAACCCTATAAATTGCATATCGTTTTGTTCCTAGTAGCTATTTATTAAAAAAAAGTCAATGTTCCCACAAAAAAAAAAGTGAACGCACTGCCCCAAAAAGGCGTCCAAAGATGACGGATTGCCGACTGTGACTTTAGTTAGTTTTTTGGTTACTGAGAATCAGCACTTGGCTTAATGTCCTCGTGGTTGGTCTTTTATTAAATCTAAATAGTCAGAGAACAATAAAACATGAACATATATTAAAAAATAATTGGCTTAGGCAATAAAAAACACCAGTAAAGTCAACAATTTTAACAACCAAATTTTCAAGTTGCAAATAAAGCGTCGTTTGTAATAAAACGGGAGGAAACGCGAAATTTAACCCAAAAATTGAAAAAAATACATTAAGCGAACGAGAAAGGAAGTGCCAAAATCGCGGGGAAAAAAAGGACCAGTATCCATTACATGGCTAAACGAATGTATAGTAGACGGATGAACAGAATATTGAATATTATATGATGCTAAAAGGATGTCAAATGCAGTTTGGCAGTTTGACATGATATTAAGAGGACGATGGAGGTTTATTATGGTGAAGACTATTTTATCAACATGAAAGATTTGTTCGAAGCAATTGGCAAGTCAGGTGGTCTGGATGAAGTAAACCGTACTGCTGGCAACAAATGCATTGGAAAACGATATGAAAAGACTGTAGTTTTCTACCTTTACAAGAAAGGAGGTACTAGGAAATGTAATTCCCATCGAGGTTCATTCCCGTTTGATGTACCAAAGAAACTTTACTCAAGAATCGTAGAAGCAATAATAATAATAAATATTGTCGATTGCCATAGAGATATAGTTGAGTGACTCAAGTTACACATTGGAAGAGAAGTTGCAAATTGGGACTATCTTCACTTTAAGGCAGATTATAGAGAAGTCCATCTAGAAAGAAAAAAAGGTATCTATCTGCTTAGTGCCTCACACTTTGGATTGTGCCAATATCTAATTGTCTTTCAGAAAACGCTCGTGTTCCTTTTAGATTCCTTAAAACATCTTTTGCAAATGCACTAAACAGAAGGAGAGCTATTTCCCTTTCTCGATAGATCTCTTTATAACCTGCTTCAAAGTGAAGATAGTCCCGATGTGCAACTTCAGTAGCAATCAAAAATAAATTGGTCTTCAACGTAATAAACCTCTGTCGTCCACTTAATATCATGTCAAACTGCCAAACTGCATTCGACCTTTTAGCATCATCTTAAATATTCTATTCACCTGTCTACTATACATTCGTTTAGCCATATAATGGATACTGCTCCTTTTTTTCTTTTTACAGATTTTGGCACTTTCTCGTTTGCTTAATGTATTTTTCCAATTTTTGGGTTCAATTTCGCGTTTCCCCTCATTTTGAGACCAAATCCAAACAATCCGTTCCGGTTACTAGAAGAACTCCTAGTTTCGCCCTTTCCATATTTATTTGTGGAGAGGGAATAATGCATTAAATATTAAAATTTCCTATTTATTTATGATATGGTCCAGCTTCCGTTCATAATGAAGGAAATAAAAATTAATTTTTTATTGGTGATATATGAGTTTTACTAAAGAACCCATCAACTATTCATTATAAGTAGTTCAGATTAAGTATATATTATTTTAGTTTATAAAACAGATATTAATATGTCTCATTCATTAAATTGCCTTTAAGAATCAGTAAATATACATAATAAAGTGTTAAATTGCCAACGTTAAATAAAAAATTCAAGATATTCAGCAAAGTATTTTTTAATTAAGTTTTATTATTATAATTATATCGTTTTTACAATAGATGTCTACTTATACGACCTCCGTATAGAATAAAGTAAATTAAATAAAAAAATAAAATAAAATAATAAATTAAAAAAAAAATTGTTTAATTTTTTTTTTTACAATTAAATGACGCCTTAATATTTGTTGGTTAATAAAACCAATATAATGTACCATAAACGTTATTATATCACTATAACCTAGCCATTTATGTGTATAGAATGGTGTAGCAGAGGCTTGTAGGCACCTACGCCGGCAAGGCTTTTCTCCCGCATAAGTTCAGTTTCTACGGAACTACTTCAAATATTTCAAAAAGTAATAAGTGTTTTGGAAAGAAAAATATATTCTCCAGATATTTTATTTCAGCACATTTTGCGTTATTGTTGGCATTTTAATTACAAACGACGCTTTATTTTCAACTTGACAATTTGTTTGTTAAAATTTTTGACTTTACTGGTGTTTTTTATTGCCCAAGCCAATTATTTTTTAATATTTGTTCATGTTTTATTATTTTCTAAGTATTCTGCTTTAATAAAAGACCAACCATAAGGAAATTAAGCCAAGTGCTGATTCTCAGTGACCAAAAAACTAACTAGAGTCAGAGTCGTCAATCCGCCATCTTTAGACGCCATTTTGAAGCAGTGCGTTCACTTTTTTTGTGGGAACATTGGCTTTTTTATAATAAATAGTTACAAGGAACGCAACAATATGCGATTTATAGGGATGTGGTGGGGGAGGGGGAGGGATGCACGATAGGGGGTTCTGGCCCACAGACTATTTTTGTTCGTGCGAGAGGTTAAAAACAATTTTGTGCTCAGACTCGAAAATTTCCACTCGCGTTTTACGTTTCAGACATCAAGGATCAAATTTGGTTCAGTGTCTGTCTGTAGTAAAATTGATGTAACGGGCATACCTCCTAGTACGATTTTCATGAAATTTTCAGGGATTATGGTGCCTAGATGGTCCTATATCAATTTTATCAAATTCCATCCAGCACTTCCGCTTACGCACGCGCAAAATTCGGGAAAATTTTCAATTTAATCAAACTCGGAATGAAGATCTCAGTTAGGATTTTGTGCTCTAATTCTTTTACTTATGATAAGCGTAGGTCTTTTGTGATCTCTTTTTCCCATTAAACAGAAAAAGAATACTTCCATTTCTTCTTTTTGTCGGGAAGCGGTATGATATTCTCTATTTTTTGGCAATGATAACTTACAAATATACAAAACTTGGTTTATTTATTGAATTTACATGTTAACGTTTCGGAAAATTTACTCCCATCTTCAAAAGTTATAATCCCATATTTTCTTATCGATTCATGGCTAAAAAGGAGTTAATTAAAAAAAATGCATGTTACAATACATGTTAGAGTTTCGTTGTTACATTAATTTTGTAGTTACCTAAAGTCTAATGTGCTCCTTTGTCATGTATTAAATTTATGATTCGTCGTAAACCTATGACTTCCTGTCCTACAGTATCCTTTAATAACAACCCACTTATCGCTCTTGAACGAATCTGATACCTAGGACTCTTCCTGGACAAACGTCTCACTTGGAATCCTCATACAAGACTGAAACGACAAGAAACAGCTCGACGTTTCCGCTTACTGCAGCACTTACCAGACAAACGATCTAAGCTTCCAATTAATGACAGAAGACTAATATACATGACTATAATAAGACCTATTTGGAATTATGGAGTTTAGCTATAGGGCTTCACTAAACCATCGAATTCCTCTCATATCTAATCCCTACAATCCAAAATCCTTCATAAAATTCGTAATGCTCCTTACTTTGTAAAAAATAAAATAATCCGTAAAGACCCTAGTGTTCC